TGAATGGGACGCGATACCACAAGGACCCGAAAATAATAAAACGAGAAAAAAAAAAACAATATACAAATAACTTAATAGTGGTGAGGATCAGCGGGGCTCCTGATACCTTACCAGTCCCGAGGGGCAGGCCCGCCGCCGCTCTCGCTAGCAAAAATCCGAGGGGGAAAGCCCCGTCGGGCCCTCAACCCCTCGGTCTCCTCCGCGTCGCTTTGCTGCTTTCGGGCCGACGCCCGCCGACCTCGATCCCCGAACCTTCGTAGTAATAGTTCGATGCCGTAACCTTAAGGGCTAAGCCCAAGCCTAGGGCTGAGTCCCGCAGAATACCATATAGGCAGTGCGGCGCGACGCTTTTGGGCCAACCAAACGGCTGCACGGCTCCCATTTGTCCACACCGGTTTGCTTATACCATGCCATAACTACCCCGCGCGCCATCCTACGACACCCCGCTTACCGCACGAAATCGCGCCGTTATTGCCGATGCCGTCGTCGCGGTCGTTTCTCCGTACACGCGCTTGACCTACTAATCAAAAAGAAAATATCCTTAATCCCTGCTTAATAAAAAATAATAATATCACCAAACGAAATGACCGAGGTCCGGGCCGGCTTTACGATTAAATAACAGAAAAAGAATCATGCGCGCCTTAAACCTGCGCGCCCACGCACTCGCTATTGCGGTCAACCACCCAGTCAAAGCAATTACTGACGCAACCGTGCTTAGCGGGGTATACTTAAATTCTAAACCAAAACTATTTTCTGTCACTTGCAAAAACCAGGGCGGATACCCTTGTAAGGGTATTCGCACCGACACCGTACATGTCTTCTGTCGAGTCCAGCGACGCCCGGGGCTTGGAGAGTGCAGCTAGTGTAACAGGTTTTACAGTAAGTGCAGCGACGGCGGGCATTTCGAGAGTCTCGCCTCTCTGACAACGCTAGCCGAACTCTCGAAATATTTCGAGAGTCTAGAGTAGTGCAGAGAGGCCTTCACTCTCACACACACACACACACACACACACACATACTCTTGGGGTCTGGTGTATAGTGAGCATGACAAAACATAAACACAGCATAATCACTACCTTGCCCTTTCCCAACCAACTCCAACAGAGAAACTGCGGGCGCCCGTGCCGTCAGGACAAGTCAATTGTACAAACGGAGCCAAAGTCTGTGTTTTGCGACCTTTTAGGTCCCCTGCATCAAGTCGTACAAATGGGATCTGAGACAAAGATGTTCAGGCAGGCTACCTAACGGTGTGTGACCAGGCTACCTAACAGTGGGTGTGACCAGGTTACCTAACGGTGTGGAAAACGGCTTTGACCACATCGATTTTTTATTTATTTATTATTACTATTATTATTATTTTTTTTCTTTTCTTTTCTTTTCCCGTGTTTCTTTCGTTCACACTATCACTGCCTGCGTCGGCGTGCCTGCGTCGGCGTGCTGGGCTTTTTTTATTTTTATTTTTATTTTTTATAAACTGATCAGAACAGATACTACACTTGATCTTAGCCAAAAGGCCGAGAAAGGTATTCCTGCTTGGCTTGCTCCAGGCTGCGCATCCACACCTGGGGCGTGGTCCCACTAGCAAAGAGGATCGGATCGAATGCCTGAATCTGGACGAGATTATGGAGATGTGCAGGAAATCGAGATTGAACTGATTTTCTGCATCTCTGCATAAAACACATCCAGATTCAGGATCTCGATCTTATCCTTTTGCTAGTGGGACCTCGGCCCTGGCGTGGTAAATCCGTTCATGGGTGTACCAGCTGAGCTACCCGAACCCCCCGAACACAACGCACTCTCATCATAACCAATGTGCAATGTATACAAGCTATCTTTTCGTCCTGGTGCAACCAAAACGAGGGTCCAGTTCCAGGCAAGAGGGTAGCCTACTGTAGTAGTAGGCCAGTTGGTACCCTCTGCCCTCTTTTTTTTTTTTTTTTTTTTTTT